AACTTTGTTTGATGAACACAATATCTTGGACAGGTTTCACCCAGGGGTATTTTGGGTAAAACCATCATATTTTTAATTTTTGTGTTAGATTTGGATTTGTTTTGGTTTAGTATGAATAGGATATGTATCTATGACGTTTTAATTAAGTTTTATTCACGTTTTTCTAAACAAATCTTAGAGGACAAGCAAAATTTCCCAGAAAATTTTTCCCCAGTTTTGTTCATCCCTTTGTATCATGTTTTTCTATCCATGTCCTGCTGTGATTTTTATGTTTGTTTATTTTGTGTGATAATCTTTGTGAATTAAGTGAATTAGTTCTCAGATAAGTAATCTATCATCTATTAAAATCTCATTTTAAAGGAATCAAACAAATTGAAAACATGGCTTTTTATCAACAATCTTGTCCATAATGTAAAGGCTTTTTATCAATCACAATATCAACACTGTACATTCGATTTTCCCATTCTGTTAAACTAAATGTATGGACCTCCTTATGTATAAAAATTATGACTAAGTTGGTATCAATTTTTTCAATTATGACAACTTTTTTCTATTCTAGATAAAAATTTATGTATAAAAATAAAACAATGGTATAAAATATAAATTGTTTATGAATATATATATATATATATATATATATATATATATATATATATATATATATACTATTTAAATTAAGGGGCTATAAATGAAATATATACTTATATAACATATAAGTATCATGAAGTTGATTTTGCAAATATTTTGGAACATATAATAATATAATATATAAATGAAAATTTTATGTTATTTAACGATCCGTAAATAAATAACTTATATATTATATTAAAGACAAAAACAATTTAAAAAATAAACTTCAAATTAATATAATATAAATATGACATCTTATAAAACTTAAAAGATTAAAAAATGAAATATTAAAGGTTGATAGCTACTTTTGAAACAACACCATTTTGACAGCTACTTTTGAAAACAACACCACGTATACAAAATCTCCCTCCGTATGCCACCATGCATACAAATTATCTTCTTCTAAATAAGTGTTGCTACTGGAAGATGGTTGAATACAGGGGCGAATTTAGTGCTTGAAGAGTGGGGGCAGATGTCCCCAGTGACTTCTGAATGACCATATATTTGATATTATAAATTGGGTTTACTTATTATTTTCTATGATATATGCCCCCAATGGTCAGATGTAAGAAGTAAAAACTAAACCTAAGCCTGCATGGCCCACCTAAATTAATTCTCTAGGTTTAAGTTGTATGGTGTTCAGTCATCTAGTTACCTATTTATTCAACGCCACATGATTTATGCAAAGGGACCACATAACACAATACACAAACTCCATCACTCTCTGGGACTTCATGTATAAAATTAATAGCATGTCCGACAGGTGTATGGTGAGATGATGATGTAGTAAAACATTTTTTGGATTTTCTGTTATCCAAATATAATTTTCTCTTTTTTCTTCTCTCTCTAGCGTCCGTTGCATTCATGTTCTTGTTTGATATAGAATAAAAATAAAAAAGTACAGTGAAAAACAAAATTAATAATTTGATAGATGATGTTACAAGGATTGGTAGGTTATATAATTTGCATAAACTTCATTTGACGAATTGAATACTAACCAAATAGAAAATAAATGATATTTCTAAATCATAAAATTATATAATAAAATTTACTTATTTTTTGTTGAGCATAATACATAAAATGACAATTTAAATAGTTTATGCCAATTTAAATTATAATTTAATAAATACCACATATCAATATAATTTTTTAGTTGATTATTAAAATTATAGTTGTTTTAATAATAAATTGAGATACATAGCAATACAAATTATTTAAATATTATTGATATAAAAAATTATAAAAAAAAATATTATTTGAAGGATTAACATAAGTAATAACCCCCATTTCTCCCGCGTACAAGAAAATCAATTAGTAATAACCCCCCTTTGTCACTTTTGTTGTAATAGAAAAGAAGACTTAGAAAAATCGACACTTGAAATTGATATCTTCGCAATCAAGATTAACGTCTCCAACACGTTCATTTCAGAAAGATATCAAACTTTGTCCATTGCTATCGATGAAGGCAGATAGGAATATATAATCATTGAATCAAATTGAACGGGGTAGTTATACCGATGTTACAATTGAAGGTACGAAGTGAATAGGGTTTGAAGATGTGAAAACTGAAGGTAAGATATAAAATTTTCTTAATGATATTTGTTTTAACATAACATAGATTGGTTGGAAGATATTATACCTGATTATGATTTGCAGAAAATTGATTTTTCTGAAGAAGTTATCGAAAAATGAAATGGTATGAGGAGTAATTCGAAATACTTCAAGGGTGGAGACATAATCAGGTAACTTTCAATTTTGCTGAAATTATGGTTTTCATACTTTGTACGTAATAGTTTGAAATTTTGAATTTTGAATTTGCTATATATTAGGGTTAAATTTGTGCATGTGATTAATATTAGCAAATAATTTATTAATTGAATTTTATATACCTTCCGAGATTAGATCGGGAGTTTTATAATGATTAGCTAGATTAGCTAGATATCAGGGTTAAATATGTGTAAAATGAAGCGATCAATTTCATATTAGTTCCTAGTGAGTAGTTTGAAATTACAGCCCTAAAGCAATTATAAAAAAAAAAACTTTGTTTTTCACTCTAAAAAATTGACTGATTTTAAACAACCGGTTAAATCTTCAACCGAGGGTATTTTGAAGACAATAAGATATAAAGGGTAAAATTGTCCAATCTCAGAGATAAAGGGTAAATTATGTTGTAAAGCTTAATCTTATATAACATTCGACTTATTTAACTTTTATAATAAAAAAAATCATTTATTAATTGAATTTTATATACCTTCCGAGATTAGATTGGGAGTTTTATAATGATTAGCTAGATATCAGGGTTAAATATGTGCAAAATGAAGCGATCAATTTCATATTAGTTCCTAGTGAGTAGTTTGAAATTACAGCCCTAAAACAATTTAAAAAAAAAAAAAAAAAACTTTGTTTTTCACTCTAAAAAATTGACTGATTTTAAACAACCGGTTAAATCTTCAACCGAGGGTATTTTGTAGACAATAAGATATAAAGGGTAAAATTGTCCAATCTCAGAGATAAAGGGTAAATAATGTTGTAAAGCTTAATCTTATATAACATTCGACTTATTTAACTTTTATATCCACAGTACATTCAAATTACTTTTATATCTAATTTAAATCGTAATGTTGAAAAGAAGTAAGGGCAGATTTGTAAAACTTTTAAGATTTTGCTGGAAAGTAAAACATATCACATTTGCAGAAACGCACACACATTCACACTTGCAGAAACAATATTTTATAGTAAAATTCAGGTTTACATATAGAAAGTATATTGTATAATCACCAAAACAGTATTTTATACTAAAAGTCACACACACACACACACATTCACACTTGCAGAAACGCATACAACCAGATACATATAAGATTAACATGTATATATTTTTTGGGCTGTTGACATTTTTGCTCCTGGTTCCCTTAATGAGTGTTGGTCTCTGGTTGTTTTTGTTTTGGTTGGTCTGATTTGGTCTAATTTACTCGAGTTTTTTTAATGATAGTTATAATTACATTAATACCCCTCGTCTTAATTAAGGAATTGCAGTATAGGAATATTAACACAAACACACAAATTATAACAATGTGCTTTGAAAATACATTGCTATAACTGGTAAAAATCGTTTTTTTTTTCCAAAAATTAGAAAAAAAACTTGTTTTTCTTATTAAGCCATTATTGTAAAGTACGTTAACCAAAACACATAAATTATAGTCCCTGATCTATATAGTATATGTTGATATCATTTAGTAAAAATAACCAAATATATGCAAAAGTTAAGCAAATAGAATTAATTTTTCATTTTTAATATTAAAACGATAAATATATTAGTATGCAGTAAGACATTTTCTACCAAGAATGAAAAAGCATAAATTATTTAACCTTTATATCCACAATACATTCAAATTACTTTTATATCTAATTTAAATCGTAATGTTGAAAAGAAGTAAGGGCAGAATTGTAAAATTTTTAAGATTTTGCTGGAAAATAAAACATATCACATTTGCAGTAACGTACACACACATTCACACTTGTAGAAACAGTATTTTATACTAAAAGTCAGATTTACATATAAAAAGTATGTTGTATAATCACCAAAACAGTATTTTATACTAAAAGTCTCTCACACACACACTCACATTCACACTTGCAAAAATGCATACAACCCTTAATGAGTGTTGGTCTCTGGTTGTTTTTGTTTTGGTTGGTCTGATTTGGTCTAATTTACTCGAGTTTTTTTAATGATAATTATAATTACATTAATACCCCTCCTCTTAATTAAGGAATTGTAGTATAGGAATATTAACACAAACACACAAATTATAACAATGTGCTTTGAAAATACATTGCTATAACTGGTAAAAATCAATTTTTTCCCCAAAAATTAGAAAAAAAACTTGTTTTTCTTATTAAGGCATTATAGTAAAGTACGTTAACCAAAACACACAAATTGTAGCAATGATTGTTGAAAGTACATTAAAACAAACACATAAATTATAGTCTCTGAACTATATAGTATATGTTGATATCATTTTGTAAAAATAACCAAATATATGCAAAAGTTAAGCAAATAGAATTAATTTTTCATTTTTAATATTAAAATGATAAATATATTAGTATGCAGTAAAACATTTTCTACCAAGAATGGAAAAGCATAAATAAAACCACAAATATATGAAAAAATTAATTCATAACATGCTATAACAATATAGCATAACAAACCATTTAAAAAGAAAATAATGGAAAAGTTTTAACCTTAAAAAACAGAATGATTGAAACATCAAACCAAGAGAGTTAAAAAAGAAGCATGACAAAAAAACCCTTAAAATTGTTCATGAAAATTCAAAATGGACATTGTCTTCAAAATCAACACCAAATCAAATTCAGCCACTTTTTTCCAACTTTATCTCCAACAACTTTTTCCTTGGACCATCTAGGGACACTTTTGGAGTTTTTGAAGATGATAAGTTTTCATTAATGTCCAAATCAAAGACTTCTTCAAGATTTCGTTTCAAAACCGGTGTTGTGTTCAAAAAATTCATTGGGCTTGTTACTGAGTTCTTGTCAACAGTGGAAGGAGTTATGTTGTCATCCGTCCCAGAAATTGCATCCTAAAGAAATTAATTTTACAACATTGTTATTTACACCTAACAATTATTTTACAACATATTTATGTAAGCTAACATGTATGTAACCTTTAAATGCCGTTATCTTGAGATTCGAATTCGCCGGAACAAACGTCCAAAGAGTCTGTTAAACCGGTCTGCATAAGACATAAAATAACAAAAAGACTGATTTAGAAATACTATAAGGATGTATAGTTAACAACAAAAAACAATAATTAGTAATTTAATTCGGTAAACTTTTTTCAAGTTGTTCAATTAAATCAACATTATCACTGATTCTAGAAATACCATATTGATTGGTTTTTTTCAACACATTGAAATCCGTAATAGAAATCTTGAATGCCAATTTCAAACCTTTCAATGCATTAATCTCCCCCGGATAGAAATCAGTATTGTCTCCAATCTGCATTGAATAATAATGTAAATATAAGTTTTGGTTAAACTGAACATATATACAATATGAAACGATCATATAATAATTTTCAAACGACCTCTGTTGCTTTTTTAAACAACTCTTTGGCTGATGTCTTCAATAAATACCTTCCTTCTTTTTCAAACATTGTCAATGTAATAGTCTCGGTATTATTTTGCACACGTATAGGGATCATAAATCTAAAAAAAAGGTACAAAATATAAAAAATATTATTAATATATATGGATTAAGAAACGTTTTTGTATGAATATAGTTTATAGGTAAGAACCTCGGTACAACGGAAGTTGTTTTTTTTTGTGCAATTTTGGTTACGACATTCATAAGAAGTTGGTTTTGCATTTGATTGATGAAAATCAATACCGTCATCTGCCCCATTATCTGGAAAGGCCCTGTAACTGCAGTTTGTACACGCGGGATAGCACCATTTCTCATTCTGCAAGATTCGCTTTATAGTGCCAACTATAACGAAGTGGGTTTTCTGCATAAATGATGATTAATTATAACATTTATTATTTTTAAAAAATACAAAAAAAATATATATAAATATACAAGTTACAAAAAGTTCAAATAAATATCGAAAGGGGTTCAAAAATCTCAGCAATAGTCTTCAGCTTAGTTTTAACTATGAAATCATCTAATTCAGAAAGTTGTTTAGATTCAATGACTGAAATCGTATTCGAAGACGAATTAGGATGATCATCCCCGTCTAAACTGTAAGTTACAAAAAGAAATAACTTTTAGTTTTCTTGTAACGAACTTTTGTATAATTAAAACGTACATGGAAATGTGTTACCTTTTTTTGAAAAGATTAATGTCATCGATATCAGAGTTAATGAATAGCTTTGAAGATGTAAAGTAGGTGTTAACACTCGGACGATCTATAACAAATATAATAATATTGAGTTTAATAATAAAAAATGATAAAGTGTGCTAATAATAAAAAAAAAATATACCTCTCCAAACAGTAATCTTTGCAAACTGAATTATAACAACGACACGTTGATTTGGTGGATTCTTATCTATGTAATCTTGCATCTTGTACGCATAATCACCCCACAAATTTACATGGACTTGCAAACCACTGAAAATTCAATTTTTTTTAAAAGTCATGTTTTAACTTATTATATAATACAAATGTAAAGATATCAACAACAAACCTTGCATCTTGGATGTGAATGGTTAGTCTGTGTCTCGACCTATCAGGATTATCCTTCATCATCTCAGTAATAGCAACGACCAATCCAATAACATCTGTAAAAGTAAAAAAAAATAAAGATGTGAAGAGTTGTTTGAAATTTAAAGATATAATATATAATATATAGCAGATAAACATAACTAAGAGTACTTAAATTTATTGTTTATGATTAAAATAACAAATATTAACTAACCAATGGATAAATCTTCAGGATGTTGCAACGACAGTACAGTTTGATAGTCAACAAATGAAAATCCAAATATAGATCCAGAAAATTCTGCACATTCTTTGACAACAGTTTGTTGGACAAATGTTAGTTTCTGATCTTGAGGAGTTATTTTGAAACTGTCGGGCTTTTGTGATGCAAAACTTGGACTTGTGATATAAAAAGCTGACCCATCCTTAAATATATTTTTGAATCGATAAAGAAATTTTTTCCAAACAGTAGCTTGAATCTTGGTCCCCTATAAAAAAAGTAATATATGATGAACTATATAAGTAATTGTAGTTAGATGTGTCTTTGTAAAAAATCATTAATATGTAGAGTGTAAGATACCTGTTCATCAAGTAAAATTAATTCAATGGACCAAATGTCATCCTTGTTATTGAATGACATATGCTTCCACAAGTTGATGACACGAACTTTTAGAGTCAAATCGTCCCTTAGCACATCCACATCAGCAATCAAAGTGATATTGGGAGTAGCCATTTAACTGAAAAAACACAAAATTATATAAATTAGATGAAAAATATATGTAAATTCAAAGACCTGACTAAATAATTATGTAGAAGTTGGAAACAATTTCCTTTTGTAGAGATAATAAACAGATTGCAAACCAAGGGCAAAATGGTCCGATATTATGTAGAGGCTGCATATTGAGCCCCCCCCCCCCTCCTTTTTTTTGGGGGGGGGGGGGTGGGGGGACTTGGGACATATTTTTGGTTTTAACTTTGCAGATCAATCCAAATTAGTTAACGGAAATAAATTGTTTTTCTGCACTTATATGTTCAGTAGAAAATAAATACAAGTAAGATATTGTAAAATTGAAAAGCTTATTCTTAATTAAGAAAAGTTAAAAGATATAATTTCCAAATAAGATATAAAGGGTAAAATTGTCCAATCTCAGATATAAAGGGTAAATAATGTTGTAAAGCTTATTCTTATATAACATTCGACTTATTTAACCTTTATATCCACAACACATTCGAATTACTTTTATATCTAATTTAAATCATAATGTTGAAAAGAATTTAGGGGTTGAAAATAACCTTTTTAATATTTATGCTTCGTCAATGCTACATTAGACAAGTAGTAAGGGCAGATTTGTAAAAAATTTAAGATTTTGCTGGAAAGTAAAACATATCAATGCTCTTTTTGTATCCATTACTCAGATTTACATATTGAAAGTATATTGTTATAATCACCAAAACAGTATTTTATACTAAAAGTCACACACACACATTCACACTTGCAGAAACGCATATGGCCAGATACATATAAGATTAACATGTATATTTTTTTTGTTTCCATTATAATATAACATATACAGAAAAGACCAGAAGGAGAAGAATATAGATATAACGAAAATTATAATAAGAATACGAATAAATGATAAGAATTTAGGGGGTGCTTTACCAGAACTGCAGTGTTTTACGGTTCAGCTACAAAGCAAATGACAAAAGACAAATGATTTAAAAGAATCTAGGGGTTCTGTATTTATAGGTGAAATAAAACAACGTAAGTTAATATTGTAATTTGTAACTGCATATTGTAATTTATTTAATTGATTTAATTACTATAATCATCATGCAGATATATTTGGAAAAAGATACAGTTTTTGAAAAACAATTCCTGATTTTATGCGATATGATGATGATGTTGTATGATATATTCAAAATGAAATTTAATGCAGAAACAGAAATAGCCGATTTATATGGAAACATAATTATTTTTTAAAAACAGTTGCCGAATTTATCGAATGTGATTATGTATTAGTTTGAATTTTTTGTTTTATATGGAAGCATATATATGGAAACTGAATTCTTTTTAAAAAACCATTGACTATTGACTATCGGTATTTTCTTTAATTTTCAGGAAATGTTTGGGCGGGAAAATATTTATGAGGAAAATGGAGAAAATGACACGTGTAAATTGGATGTTTAGAAGAATGCCATGTGGCACCCTAGAGAGGTTTTTATAGAAAAGAAATTATATTCTAAGTTATGTCTTACTTTCTATATAATTTGCAGCATCGCATGGATGACATCTCCTAGTTGATTTACAATACCCATGTTTCTTTAAAATGCATTTCAAGTTTATGCTAATTAAAGAAAGCTATTATAATTAAATACTACATTTTTACTTTTGGGAGAAATATGTGCAATAGAAAGAAATTTTTAATCTCATTGTATTCCTTTTCCTTAACGGCAAAGCTCACGACGGCACCTAGACGATAGGTTGGTCTAGTGTACCTCTCGTGTCCAAATCTTCACATTTACATCAATTTATTTCTAAAATATGGGAAACTTACAATATAATGCTTTGTTTTTTTACATATGAATAGACACAGAAACTAATGAAAATAATTATAAATATTAATCATCGGATATCAGTAATGGATTTCTGTTCCAAGTTAAAAAAAAAAACACTTATGGGCCATTATCAATCTCATCAATATTTGATAACGATCCTCGACTGTATAAATATACAAAAACCTAAAGTAAAATCTTATAAAAACATTAGAACTCTCCAAAACAAACAACCAATAAGATTATATTAGTCTTTTTAATTATTTATGTGTGAGTAATGGGTTTGACGTCTTACTATACACATGTTTAACTTAAACGTTTTGGTCTACACCCTTCTCACTTTTCCACTCCACCTAATATATGTATATATGTGTGTATATATACACAAACATTTATGTATATCTATATCTTCATCTTCCTCAACTAATTCATTCTCAAGAAAGCCCACAAATAAACGATTGGAGAAGATGAAGACTAATCATACATTCACTTTAGGAAAATCAGTTTTTATTATTTGCATTTTCATGTTCGTTTCATTGCTTTCTGTTGAGGTCAAGGCAGCCACCAAGAAGTATCAGTTTAATGTAAGTTTGTAGTTTTGCTATGTCGTGATAGCTAGCTAGTTTCTATGGCTTTTAATCTACTATGAACATTAGTTTATTGGTAACTAGTTAAGTTTTTCTGTGTTACATTCGAAAATGATTGTGTTATATTCTTGTATTTGAAAAAGGTCGAAGTGAAGAACGTTAGCAGATTGTGCCATGCAAAACCGATTGTAACTGTAAATGGGAGATTTCCAGGTCCAACAGTTTACGCTCGAGAAGGCGATAGAGTTCTTATCAACGTTTCAAACCATGCACAATACAATATGTCCATTCATTGGTATGAAGTTTAGAAATTATTTATTATACAAAGTACGTACAAACAAACACGTACACAATATCTTCTCTTTAGGTTTGTTATCGCTAAAACTATGACCATTTTTGTGATCAAATATGATTCTTTTATACCATTGAGGTAAAATAGATTTTGTTTTCTATCGAATCCACCAGTTCCCTACACAGTAATGTTTTATTTATCATGTTTTATTAGGCATGGCTTAAAACAATATGCTAACGGGTGGGCGGATGGACCGGCATACATCACACAATGCCCGATCCAGACCGGGAATAGCTATGTTTATGACTTCAACATTACGGGCCAAAGAGGGACACTTTGGTGGCATGCACATATTCTATGGCTCAGAGCAACTGTTTATGGGGCTATTGTAATATTACCTAAACAATCAGTGCCATTTCCATTCCCAAGACCCGATGGAGAACATGTCATCGTATTTGGTAAACTATATGGATTATTTGAAAGCATTTTCATCGTTTAATGTTAATTTCTCACATTTTTATATAATTTTATGAGTATCTAATTAGAAACGCATGCAAAATATCTCTTATTTGTAGGTGAATGGTGGCATGCAGATGTCGAAGCGGTTGTGAAGCAAGGCAATGCTTTAGGATTGCCACCAAATATGTCTGATGCGCACACGATCAACGGAAAGCCGGGCCCACTTTTTCCTTGTTCCGAGAAACGTATGTTTTACATGGTTTATTGAGATTGATTGTACCAAATAATCTCATTAATGCATTCTAGATCGTGTAACTTTATTTTTTTGTTTTTCTTCATTTAAGATACATTTGCTATGGAAGTCGAGCAAGGAAAGAAATACCTCTTGAGAATAGTCAACGCTGCACTCAACGATGAACTATTTTTTGCAATCGCCGGCCACAACATGACGGTGGTTGAGATCGATGCAGTTTACACAAAACCATTCACCACAAATGCTTTACTCATTGCTCCGGGCCAAACAACAAATGTGATCGTCTCCGCCAACCAGACTCCCGGCCGCTACTTTATGGCGGTGCGACCATTCCAAGATGTTCCAATTCCGGTTGACAACAAAACCGCCACCGCAATTTTCCAATATAAAAACATTCCCACCACCGTCATTCCTACACTCCCTATCCTACCATTACCTAACGACACCAACTTTGCTTTAAGTTATAACCAAAAGCTCCGTAGCTTAAACACCCCTAACTTTCCGGCGAATGTGCCAATGAAAGTTGACCGAAACTTGTTTTTCACCATCGGGCTTGGGAAGAGTGATTGTGCAACGTGCCTGAATGGAACTCGGCTTTCTGCATCCTTGAACAACATAACATTTGTGATGCCAGAAACTGGACTTCTTCAGGCTCATTACTTTAACATGAAAGGAGTGTTTAAAACCGATTTTCCCGATAAGCCTCCGACGACTTTTAACTACACGGGTGCTCCCCTTACTGCTAATCTTTTCACTTCAAAGGGAACACGGTTGAGCAAAATCGCGTTTAATTCCACCGTTGAATTGGTCATACAAGATACCAATTTGTTAAGCGTTGAATCTCACCCTTTTCATCTTCATGGGTTTAATTTTTTTGTCGTTGGAACTGGCATTGGGAACTTCGATTCTTCCAAGGATCCAGCCAAGTATAACTTGGTTGATCCACCGGAGAGAAACACCGTTGGTGTTCCCACCGGTGGTTGGGCTGCCATTCGATTCCGAGCTGATAATCCAGGTATCGATCGTCTCACCATAAACAAAAAAGACACAACGTTAAAATCCATATGTAACTAATTCTTGTATAGGTGTTTGGTTCTTTCACTGTCATTTGGAGTTGCACACCGGATGGGGATTAAAGACGGCGTTCGTGGTGGAAAATGGGCCCGAAAAAGATCAAGTGGTTCGTCCTCCACCAAAGGATCTTCCATCGTGCTAACCAATAAGTGTACATATTCCGACAAAGGTTGCGGTTTGTTTGAGAGTTTGACAAGGAATGAAACTGGAAAAAGAAAAAAAAATCATGTTTCATACTTTGTTGTGTGTATTTTTAAGACAATTGTTTGATTTTTTTTAATTAAGTTGACATGTCAATTGTCACATGTAAACTTTGACGTTATTTGTGTTGTCATTCATACGATTTCTATTTTATTAACAGACCATGTTTCTTCCAAATTGGTTTTCATCAAACTCTATTTACCTTTATATACCTTTCGCCCTTTTAATTAGTATTTTGGAAATCAAATATAGCATACATAAACCCTAATTCATTGCCAACCCATGATCTTAGCCTCTTAACCATTTAAGAAGGA